TGCTTGTAATTATAGGACACCTGACCCACACATTTTTTGCATGACTATTACAATGTTAATATTATTGGTACTAAAGCATTGTCTGTAAATTCTGACATTTTCTATTCTCAAACAGAATATTTTTCTACTTTCTTCTTGTTCATCTGAGATTAAAGTCATTATTCCACTGAAATGTTACAGGATCTGACAAGCTTAGATCAAACTCACCCAGTAGAAGAAAGCTGGGAAGTTAGTTACACTAGAATTGATGAAGGTTTGTGAGGTTTGCTATGGAACAAAATGTGCCTGAATTTTTTTAAGGCATATGAAAAATGAGAGTGTCTGAGGTCCCTGGGTTCCCAGTATGAGGGGTATGGTAGGAAGGCAGTAAAAATTACTTTTACTGGGGTTTTGGATTGTTTATTTTTTTTTTAAGTCAAGATAATAAAAGTGGAGCATTCTACTCTTGCTCTACTTCCATGGGTTTTGATTAATGCAAAGACTGCAAAAATAAACATGACCTTTCCATTCTCTTCTTCATTCATTCTCATAAGAGACTCTTTTCTCTGTTAGAAATCTCTGGAAGTACCTCCCCTTTGTTTGCAGCTCTCTGCTGCTGTTTCCCAAATGGCAATAGTTTAGAACATCTTGTCTGGCTCCTGCTCTTTGCTGCTACCTTTCTGCATATCACTGGGGAAAGGACAAAACTGAGAACTGAACAATTTTTCAAGTAAACTTTTATAAACACAAATAAAAGCTCTAAAATTTTTCTTTTAACTCTTTCAAACCAGTACTGTGTATTTTCAAGGTCATTATTAGCACACCAGCTGCTGGAGAGAGACTTTACTAAAGAGGGAAAATGAAGAAACATAAACAGATGTTGTGCTACTGAGCCCTCCCCTTTTATTGCACTGGCTCAGCGACCACAGTTCACATGGATGCTGATGGGCATTTAGTTACAAATTAGTTACACCAGTATGTGAAAAGACTACATACAAAGGTGAGAACTGAAACTGAAAAATCACAGAAGGGCGTAAAAATCAAGGTAGTCTTTTTTTATAACTATAGAACTTAGACTTAGTCACATATATTTTTTCCTTCAGTGTAATTCCTGATGTCCAAGAGCAATAGCAAACTACTCCAACAGGCTGCCCAAATGAGCTGGAGCAAAGCATTGTGAATGCAGAGGTTAAGCATTCTAGAGCAGCTGCAGTGGCTCTGCTGGAGCAAACATTCAATAAAGAAATCCCTCCAGCCAAATTCAGCTGGTTTGCAGCTATGAGAAAATTAAATAAGCAACACTCAGGAATAAAGGTACTTTAAAGGAACACGAGGATTATGTCTAAATATATTATCGACACTTTAAGGCATTTTCTGGGATATATAGATTAAAATTATTCATGGGATGACTGGAAACAAGTCTTTGTGAATAACACCATTTCTCTGTGAAAAGACTGGAAAACTCATACAGTTCCTTCTCCTTTTGGAGACAACAGCATGATTTACTATTAGGATGTTGAATATTAGGGAATAGAGAAATCAAGTGTTTGCTGAAAGGACATTGAAGAAATCAGTGCAAGAACCGAGTTCAGGACTAGACCCTTGGGAATTTGAGCTAATACCTTTAAATCATTTACCCTTTTTGTTCTATTTTTCCCACTACAGATTAAAGGAACTTCAGTATCTGATGTGGTCAGTCTGGTGCATTTCACGTCATTAATGACCACTTCAAAAAAGAAAACACAATGTAGAAAAACAGAGTAGATTTTCCACATTAAGAGTAATTGGCAACATCAGTGAAGCGTCAGCACTTACCCTGTAATGGTCAATTCGACAACACATGTGTAAGTGCCAAACCACAAGCCCTTACAATTCTGTAAACTCAGTTAATTGCTTTGTTTCAGGTTGAGATCATGCTTATATTTATGCCTGAATAAAACTTCCCCATTAAAAATAACTTGGACAATTTCTGTTCCTTAAAATTTTACAGATGAATTGTAGGCTGAAACAGAAACATTTTTTAGCTACATATTGAGTAGCAAACAATGTAACAGCAACTGTACATTGCATTGTGCACAGCTATTCTGGGCACAAGCTCTGCTCCACTGAAATAACTTCAAATCTGGTACAAATTAGCAGAATCCACCTATCATCTCCAGTTTATTTTCTTGATGGATATCTACTGCAGCATCTTTCAAATATTCCACTGAAAATTATTTTCGATTTATTAAAAATTTGCATTATTTTATTGACTGGCAGTTTACAAGTTCCAACCTGGTACTACATTTTGTTAAATTGCTGTTTCCAGGTGAAAGCTTTAGACTTCTTAACACACTGAAGCAAATGTTGCTATCAGGCCTTCTTCTGCCTTATACTCTCCCACTATCCATAGTGCTGCCTACTTCATTCTCACTTAAATGGTATTGGAGTTGTATTCCCTATGCAAATAAAGGGAAAAAATGCATTTCAAAATATTACTTCTTTATATATAAAGTGTGGTAGCATCACTTTCTTCTTACTAGTTCTGTGTTTTATTAAAGGACAAGTTGACTGTAAGAGTTAGATATTCTCACCCTGGAGAACAGAAGGCTCAGGGTGGGACCTCATCACATTTTTCCAGTGCTTAGAGGACAGAAATTCTCTTCAGAAGGAGCCACACTGAGAGGATAAGGGGGCAATGAATACAAGTTGCATGGAGAAAGGTTTCAGCTATTCAATTTTTTTACAGTGAGAACAATCACTGGATGTGGTGGAGGTCCTATCAGTGGCAGTGTTCAGGATGAGAGAGGACAGAGTCCTCAGTAATCTCACCCAGGCTTGCCTCTCCATGAAAGTCTGGACCACCTGATCCTCTGAGATTCCTTCTAACCTGAGGACTCTTCTGTGAATCTCTCTACTTACCCCTTAAATCACAATTTACCTGCCTTGCTTGCATGAGTAGTTGCACAGCTTTGCACTGGTGGGTAAGGTGTGCAAGTAGTCCTTACATTTTTCTGGACAGAGTAAAATATACTCTCAAAATATGTACTCCAATCTACTCTATGTTGTTCTTGCAGGTATGTGGTTGATATCAGATTTACACAGAGATGACAATTTTCAGTGCAAACTAAGGTATTATTTATTTCTGCATCACAAAACTGCATAGCTTCACAAGTGATTTGTAGCAGGACCCTACAGGGTAGTTTTAACAGACAACTGAGTTAAACACTGATACACAGGTACAAAGCCATCAGAAGACACTGGAAATCCAAATTACAGTGACAAGAGATTGCAGAAATTAAGGGCTTTTCCACACGAGGTTCTAGATTGACTTGTCCAGAACTGAAATGAAAAGCAAGACACTTATGTATTTTGAAAAAACAGAACATTTTCAGAAGTTCTGTCATGTGAAAAGCTCTTGCTCACCATCTGTCAAGTTCACTGTCATCTGGCAATTCTGAACATTACCCAAAGGAAGCATTTAGGGCTATTTGTTTTCTGAAGAGCAGAATTTAACTAGCTCCAGATAGCTGACTTTGGACTAGGACCAAAATACATAAGACATTTTTGTCATTGTGGGTAGTTTTTTTCCATCCATGTAATCTGAGAGGATAAAACTCAGCTTCAGTTAAATTACTGTGGTGTTTTGGTTACATGTGTTAGTAGTTTGTGTGTTTGTTTAATTTTAATTGGATACGAACACAAGGAACCAAGGAGACGTGTCTTCTGTTTAGCAGAAGTTTTTCTATTCCAAATTTCGCAACAAGCAGGTAATCTGAATGACAACCTATTCCAGTATTGCAGTTCTAGATTGACAAATAAAGGTTAAGCTTCCATATCAAATAAACACAGCCTAAAAATCTTTCAAACTTTCGTAAATACAGATAGGTGAGTGTTTTGTAGCTGACAACTGAGAAATGCAATATCACACTTAGGTCACTTGAAGCCTCCACATTGTCTCCAAGAAGCAAGCATACAACACTGTTCAAAGTTGGCTAAAAACGCAGTCATCTCTCTCACATAACATGTCAATATGTTGTGAACTGACTACTTCCGAATAACAAATTATGTATTGATAGTTCTTCATTGCTCAAGTCGCAATTTTAAATACAGTGATTTTGCTTTCTGCAACGAACATACTTTGAGTTCTAATTTGACAGAAAATCACATTTTAAAAATAAAGAAAAAATTACTCCCAAAAATGTAAAAAAAAAAAAAAACCAAAACTGAAAGAAAGCAAGGAAACAACCAACTTTTAATAATTTCTGATAATTTTTAAAGAAGGATGATTATTTTTCCTCTAACCAAAAGAAAATGGGAACCTCCATAGAGTATTTTATTTCTACAATTCAGCATTTTCTACTAGAAATAATTCCTTTATGGAAAATTTCTGATCAGGTAACTAGATTCTTGTAAATCCAGGAAATAAATAATAGCTAAATACAATAACAAAACTGTGTTTCCTGCTGGGCATACAAGATACCAAGGCAGAGTTTGGAACCAAACCCTTACTTTCATGTCCCAACCCAGCTGATCAAGTAATGAACTGTTCTTCCTAATTTCTTAATTTCAAGGATTTTATTTGAATTTCATTTCAATTTAATTTCATTTATTTGAATTTCATTTCAGATGTTATAGAAATGTCCAAATTTAAGATTAGCTTTTGTCAACAGTGCGAGAATGTATTTTAATAGTTCTATTTAATTTTTGTGTATTGAAAAATTCAGTAAAAGAACTTGTATTTAAGAAACTATTTAGCATAACACTGAGTAAATTCCTCATGCACTCAAACACATTTTCTACCAAAGAACTATCATTATCATTCTCATATTGTTTCCTGATACCTGCTGCAATAAAATGGATAATCAAAATCCTCAGTATGTTAGTATAGGTTTCTAAGATTTTATGTCTGTTTAGCTATTGAAATTGTATTGGTCCAATGTTTTGTCTTGGCATTCCCAATGCAGCAGAAAACAAAGTCAGGTCAAATAATTTTGAAAAAACAAACTAGAATTCGAAGATGAGAAAAGAAGAGAAATTACCTGGGTCTTCTATCGATAAGTTCTTTGTTAACCACTGAACAATATCTGAACCTAGGAGCAAAAGAAAAGGCATTTATAGATTAGTAAGTTTTCTCTCACTATTCTTCAGATCCCTGAGGAAATTCATATTGTTCTTCCATGAAAGAGATGTACATTTTTTGCTCAGTCTATCTAGAAAAAAAAACCACTGGCCATTCTATTTTAGTTTAGTTTCTATTTTTATCTTTGTTTTACCAGTGGAACATAGAACTCCTTTAGGCTGAGACTTATAAAAAGTAAGAGAAATGCACTAAGTGTGCAACAGCAGTCTGCATTTTAAAAATTAAACTACCGCAAAATGTACATAGAAAAACACTTTATTAATCTAAGTTTCCCCACTCCCTGTGTGCACCCCGCCACCAGCCACGCTTAAAAATTAGTTTACCAGTAAAGGCAAAGCTACCTACATATGGACTACCAGAATATCAAATTCCACCTCATGCCTAAGCTCTTAACAAAATTCCTATTTCCCTCAGTGCTGAAGTGCTTTCCTTGCCACTCCAGTCTCCCTTGCTCTCTATCTATTAATTTATGCATATCTTTTCCTTTCTATTTAATTTTCTGCCTTATTTTAAGGTCCCATGCTATTGCTTACCTCCTAACACCTTTGATACCAGATTTCTTCCTGCCTTTCACACTGAGTATCCTTCCAAACTCACCTCCTAATTCCTAACCCATCTGCTCCTCTTGGGCATGCACTTCTAACAATTGCACTTCTATCACACTTTATGCCACAAGCTGAAGTCAGCCTTGTATTTCAGATAAAAAGCTACAGTTGAACTTTACCCACTGTGATTTGCAAAATAAATTACGAAGCATTGCTGCAGACAAAAAAACCAACCAAACAAACAAAACAACAAAAAATCCAAAAAAAAAGCTCCCCACATTCATAATTTGAGCAACTTAAAATTATCAAACTGGCTTAGAGGGAAAATGGGTGCAACACTGAGGGATGTTACATCTATGCTCTTCAGATTTCATGATATCTGCAGTTGAGACAAGCAATGTAATAGAGAGAGATGTCACATATTTCCTTATAGAACCAATATTTCAGTAACTCATCCATTTCCCACCAAGCATAATAACAAAACTCTTTTATAAACCTTAAAGTTAAAACAATAATAAAAATCTATACAACTTACACAAACATAAACCAAATCAAAACAATAAAATCTCTTGAATGCACTACAGTATATAAAATTAGAACGTGAAGTATATTTCCCCTGTCACTCCATAGATTCAGTTTCTTCCTGTATGGTACATACTGCATAATTTTCTTTGCTTTCCTTAAGGCAATGAAAACAGTATTTTAAAAAGGCATTTCAGAAAAGAAAGGAAATTTGCTTCTCCTTCTTGCTTTTATTACACTTAGTGAATAGCTTTTATTTTACAAAGCCCCATTGATTGTATCATAGCTTTCTATGTGTGTATGCATTACAAACTCGATTACATAGCAGTGAAAATCTCTAGAGACTTAACAACCATGTCCAGAGCAAGCATTTTTCATTGCTATGTTAAATGCCTAAATCTTGAGAAATTTTAAACGCAGCAGTAGAGTTTCTCATAGTATTTACATGGCTGTATTCCTTAAATGAGGGAATTTACCTTTGCATGCTGTTGGAGGTATACAAAGTGTTTCAGACAGATGTTACCACAAAAATATTTTATTTTTTTAAATACAATTTTAATCCTTTTTTGTACATATGAAATTTACAACATTGACACTGAAAGAAGAATTTTAGTTTAATATAAGATGAAACTTCATAAACCTCAATGACGCAGTTCCAAGCATAACTATATCTTTCTGTCAGCTGACTAGAGAAGTTAGTCAGCCCTAAATATTTTCCTAAATCTTCAAAGATCAAAGACAAAAATTAGAAAAACAAAACAGCACTTTGAAAACTGATTTTTAACTTTGTCTTCTTTCAAATCTCTCTGGTACCATATGAGAAGTTTTCTATTATTTTCATCTCACCTTCAAACACTTTTTCCTTTCTTTTGAAAACTCATACAGTGACATGCTGTATTCCTCAGTCCTCAGGTCCTGGCCTCACATTTGAGTACACATGGTCTGCACATCAGAAATTTCACCTCCGTATGTTCCAGTGTCCTTTGGCTTTTTATAAATAATAGTGGGAAATCGACTTTCTTGAAAATGGCACCATCTGATTATGAAAGTTCCTTAATGCTCTATTCACACTTTACCCTGAAGCCATTGCCCTGGCACATGAAAGCCTGGACAGAGTTTAAGCCAGCTGTTGCATCCTAACACACTGATGATTTCAGAGATATGACTCCCATGACAGATGAGTAAATATCAGCATCAACACTCTCCTTCTAGAGTAAAGGCTATTCAAGCAAAACAAACTTGCAATTTGTCATATGGCAAGTGAGAAATGCATCAGTTCATACTTCTTTGGGAGATTTTGGGGCCAGCTCTAGTCCTAAAATAATAAAGGTATTTATTTTTAGAGCTTGCTGGGTGTTTTTGTAGCTACTACTTTTAACATCTAATCAACAATACTGTCTCCCTTAATTATTCCTGTTCCCTTTTCTAAGGTTTATTACTTATGCAAATGCATTTCTAAAAGAAAAACAATTTCTCTAATTTCTTATCTCAGGAAAAAAAACCAAAAAAACACCAAGGCAGCAAAACAGGTAAAAACAGGACAATAATACTTCCTGTGAATGGAGCTTTGAAAAAAATCTGACCAGTAAATTCATGAAAGTTTTCATACGTGACACTTCACATCTATAGGAGTTATGATTCAAGACTATAAACTTCATTATAAAACTGCATTTGTAAACAAGAACTAATACTTATAGAATGAAAAATCTTTAACCTTCAAGCCTGATTCTGTCTTATCACTAGAAATCTAGCAAATAGACAAGTTAGTCAGATGACATAAATTTCATGGATGCCACTGCCTTGGTACTGGACTTACCTGAAAGGGAAAATTTCAACAATCCAAAATACAAAGTGTTTGCTGTGTCAGATACTCAGTTTCTGTATACTGTTTAATGTGTGATATCAAAGACCCAGCTATAACATTGTCAAAGCAGATTCTCAAGTTCTCCAGGTCTCCCTGCCTCACTTCCAGCAAGCAGCAAAAAAAGGCAAGTTGGCTATCAGATCTGCAAAGTGAAGAAGACTGCCGACTGAATTTTTAAATCCTAAAAAAACCTTCAGTTGTCATGCCAATTTATAAAGAAAAAAAAAAATGGTCAAGGCAAAGCAATAATTTTAATAATATCTTAAAGCTAGCAAAAGTAGAAAACAGTTGAAAAAAGGGAGTTTCTTAGACATCGAACCTGAAAGCCAAGAGTGAGATTCCTTAAATACCTGTACCTATCCTGATAAAGGCAATGAAATTCACAAGATCTTACTCAAGTCCAAAAAAAAGACAGACTTTAATCTTCTTTAAAGAAATAGGCAAAAACACATCTATATTCATATACAAATGAAAAAGACTCAGTCATGTTCTTTGTGAAATGTACTTGCTGAAGATTCTACAAGTGATTAATTTTAAATGAAATGGTCCAAAAATAGCAACTGCTGAGGCTGTCACGGGAATTTAAGAAAATATTTTTGAGGAAAACATGCTCTCTGCACTCTGCAATAGTAATTTCCAAGTCAAAGTCATAAAGGTCAGGGCAATGGTAAGGTTACCTTTCAGAGAAAATCACCTATTCTAAACAAGTCCTTACAGAATACATTTTCAAAAAGTGCTGGTTCTGACCTATAGAAGATTTCACAGGAATTATAAATCAAATTTTTGCTATGCATAGATGCAATGAGCCATGTAAGCCTTGATCTGACAGAAAAAGATATGACAGTAGTACTGCAAAAGAAAAGCAAAATTCAAAATGCTCTTTTTCAAAATTCAAAAGCATATCTAGTGGAATAAGAGACAGCTGCAAGAAAGTACATTTTATTAATCAGAATCACAAACCAATAAACCACTGAGAAACTTAATTCAATGATTTCTTACTTCATGAAGACACAGCTTCAACCTTGCAAAGCAAATAAGTCTTTTGCTGTTGATATCTTGGTTTAGTAACTGAAACATTTTTTGTCTAAAAGCAAAACCCTTTTTGCTTTTAGACATCAGAGTATCTGCAGATAATGAAGAGCGAAAGCAATGCATGAAGCTCCCCTGCTCTGCTGATAGCAAGAGAGATGGTTTTGCTGTTGACAATCAAGGCTTTTGCCATCTGAGCTCTCAAGAGCAACAAAACCATGATGGTTATGTTTGCCCAGCACTGTGAAATATGGGCAGCTGGGCTGTTTGGTGCTGAGAGGCAGGAGATGATCATTCAGGTGCTCCCTCAGGGGAGCCTCGAGGTTGGCTGGCTCAGCTTCAGTCCTGCACCACCACCTAGCCTTGGGAACCTGGAGAATTTTTTTGCAGGACAGCTCACAGTACAGAAAACTTAATAAATATTACTCTAGAAAATATCACTGTCTAAATTTAAGACAAAACTACTACTAAATTAGCTTTATTTACTACTGTATTTCCATTATTTATTTTTATTTTTTATATTGAGAAAGGAGGTTATTGGGTCATTTTAACTTCCATGTTCAATACCATCACTTCATGGTGGTACATCAGGAAATTAAGTTTAGTCACTGAAATAAACTTCAAAATCATCGATCATGACTGAAAAAAATATAATGTGCAATTTCATTTCTCACCACTGATTCAGACACAGGAAACACAGAAAGTGGATTAGATGAGCAGGGAGATTGTAAAAGCCAGTCTCTTAGGCATTCAGCACTAGCTGGTTTTTAACAAAAATTGCTGTCTAATGGAGAGGAGGACTCCACAAGAAAGGCCTTTCACTGGTGAATGGGGCAAAAATTATCTATATTCTCACTGAAGTTTTCATAATCACAAACCATAGCATATATTGCCACAGTTATATCAGCATGGATATTTTAACATTTATTTTCTTTATCTGACAAGAACTGTTTGTGTATGAATTGTTCATGCATATATCTGAAAGAAATC